GAAAGATTGGGATTACTTATTTTAATCACTGTGTGATCTTATATTAGGATTGTCTTAGTAATGTAATGGTGGAAACTCAGGTGTTTTTGTTGTGTTTTTTTTTTTTTTTCTTTTTCTTAAATATATCTCATGGGGGAATAACAGACTTACCAAAGCTGTAGTATTAGGCTACATCTTCCTTTTCCTATCCATATGTCTGAAGGTCACTCAGTATACTTTTAGGAAATAACTAACTCTTTTTTTAAAAAAGAATTATTTTATTTAACTTTATTTTTTTTTTTTTGTTTCTTTAATTTGATCAGAGAGCGAACAAGAAAGAGAGAAGGAAAGTGAGAAAGCAAGCTGCCAGTTCCAGGACTCGAACCGTCCTTAACCACCACACCACCTCTTGGCCCCAAGAAAATAATGCACTCTTCTGTAGTAGTAAATATGTTTATTACCTTTCATAATCTTTTTAAATTAAATATTTGTTCATGATAAGCATTGAACTCTTCTAAAAGTAACTTTTACTAATAACAAATGCTCATTTGTTTGTTTCTTCATGAGAGAGAAAGAGAGGAGCACCCCCAGCAGTCTTCATACTAAAATCTACCTCATCCAGCCAGGGTCATAAGAATGCCCAGCATGGGACCAGCAGTTAGCGTAATGGCTATGTCGCTGGACTCCCACGTAGTCGACTGCGGTTCGCGTCCCAGACCCGGTGGCTTAAACTCACACTGGGCGCGTGTGCGTGCGTGCCCAAGATCCCGAGAGGAGAATGGAGGAGAAGGGATTGCGGCGTGGCCATCCCCCCAGGGGGTGATTTCTCGCTTTCTATCTCTCTGTTTCTGTCTGTCTGATGAGTGCACTAGCCCTATAGCAAAAACCTCTCAAAATAAATAAATAAATAAATAAAGAATGCCCAGCATGTGCAGAAACCTCAGAATGGGAACCTGGAACTTTCCCATGTGGTTTCAGCATCACAGAGTGATACATCTATTTTTAAACCTTTTTTTAAAGGATTATTTATTTTATTTATTATTTATTTTTTATTTAACTTTTCTTTCTTTTTTTTTTTTTTTCTGTCTTTATTTTTATTTGGCCAGAGAGGGACAGAGCGAGAGAAGAGTAAGAGAAAGTAAGAAAGCAAGCTACCAGGTCTGGGATTCAAACCACGGTTGGCCATGTGATAATCCAGCACCCTTAACCACCATGCCACCTACCAGCCCCCACAGAGTGATATTTTACCACTGTGCTACCAATGGCTGGCCATAGCCACTCTTAGTTGTTTAAAAATTTTCTCCTTGTGACTTTTGTTTGTGATGAATTATATTCTCAATCTTCGTTATCTTTTTCCCTGGTTTAGTTCAGGAGAAGTTTGCATGTGTCATATCTTTAGCTACAGTTTTTTTTACTTGATATAAATCTAATTCCAGGGCAAATTTACTGTGCATCTTCTCTATACTTCAAGTTTTAGATTAATAAACCACATGATATAGTAAGATTACATTGAATTGTTTTTATCGAAGTAACATTTTTTTTATAGTGAGAAGGAGCCTATTCTGAGGAGATTAAAGTACAAATCAAAGGAAATTTTAACTTTTTTTTTCATTTTCTTTCTTTCTTAGAGCCAGCAAATGTCATTTCAATTCTTATATCCTCAGAATTTTTGAAAATGGATTCATTAGTAAGTATTAATTTTTTAAATTCAAGCTCTTCCATTTATTTATACCTAGTTTTTCCTTTAAGACCATTCTAAGATACTTTACTAAAATAGTTGTTAATTCAGAAATGAGATTATATTAGAATAAAGTTTGCCTTTGGAGGTACTTGGTCTATTAGAAAAGGGTTAAGATTATTGTGTATCATTGGGATGTTATGCCTGAAAAGGAGCATTAAATGCTCAAGAAGTAGCCCATGACATTAGATGAAACTAAACAGAATTAACTTCAACCCAAAAAGGAATTTTCCCTGCAATCAAATTAAATGAAAATTAATTGGTATATATTTGTTTTGCTATTTAAGTAATTTCTTTTAACACATTTTATTTATTTGTGTCTTTCACTTATAGTTCAGTAAATGAAGAATAAATATCCAAATATTAATATGATTTTGCACATGTGTCACAGAAGCTAATGTCTATGTTGAAGAGTAGCTGATGAAACATAAAAGCTTAATATATACATATACACTTAGAGCTATAACATTAAATATATTTACTTTTTAAAAATATAATATATTTCTTTATCATTAAAATTATTTTAGGGCCAGCCATATAGCCTAGTGATTAAGAAAGCTGGATTCCACATGGCTAACCAAGGTTGAAATCCTGACCTTAGTGGCTTGAAAAACATGCTGGGTACTTGGGAGTGGTGGCCAAAATCCCTAGAGGATGGAGAAATAGTGGAGAAGGCATTGCAGTATTATCATGCCCCAGTCTCCTTTTCTGACTGACTCTCTCTTTTTTAAAATTTATTTATTTTTAACTTTTTTTTTTTTTTTAAGTTTTTGCTATCGGGCACATGCACTTGCCAGAGAGAGACACAGAGAGAGAGCAAGAGTGAGAAATCACCCTCCAAGGGGAATGGCCATGCAGCAGTCTCTTCATTCTCCTCCTGAGATTTTGGGCATGCACACATATGTGCCTGGTGTGATTCTCAAGCTGCCAGTTCTGGGTCTTGAACTGCAAAGCTGGCCATGTGGGATCTAGTGCCTTAACCTCTACACCACCTGCTAGCCCTCACAATTGATATTTTATGGTTAATATTTAAACAAATATTTCTTTTAACTTCTGATAAAACTGTCAATACAGGGCAGAATACACCTTTGCTACACATCTGTGTTAGTAGATGTAAAATTTGTTTATTTGATTTTTGGGGGGTTTTACTAGTTCTCCATATACTTTCTTCTCTTTAAGTCCTCCCTATTTAGTCAGTTGGTATTAATTGCTTTGGGAAAGGGCTACAGAAAAAAAAAAAAAAAGATATCAAGAACAGACCTTAACCTTTGAATTTTGACATTTAAGCCTTAAAGGATTATTTTTATGCCATAAGCAGAATATTTGGAGAAATACATTATTAACCTCTCTTTACATTGAAAGCAAATAAATATTCCTCAGGTTGGGGAGAGGGTAAGAAAGTCAAGGAGTGAACTCACCACAACAGAGAAAATGATGAAATGACTGTTATTTTGTTTCTGTCACCCAGGGAGCAGGAGCCTTAAAATTATAACATAAATTTAATTATAAGAAGTGACATGTCTTGTACACTTTAGTTTATAGACAGATTTATACCTGTCATAACCATAAAGAAGCATTATTGTGTGAAATGTTCTAAAACAGTTTAAAATAATTTTTCTAAGTCTGGACATTTGTTTTTTACAAAAATTGACTTGCAGGACCACTTTGGAAGAGCATAGATTAATCCAAATAGACACAAGCCAATTAGTGCCTGCCAGTACATGGGTTAGGCTTCTAATAAATTTTAATCTCTGACAGGTATGTTATAACATTATCCTTCATGCTACTATTTTCTTTCTTTCTTTTTTTTTTTTTCATTGCCAGAGGACACATGTGCTCACCAGAGAGAGACAGAGAAAGAGAGGGAGAGAGAAAGCCTCCACTTACAGGTGCGATCATGCCATAATCCCTTCTCCTCCCATTTCTTTATCTCGTCAGGACTTTGAGTGCACGCACACATTTTTTCAAGCCACTGGAAACAGGATTCAAATTGTGGTTGGTTGTGTGGGATCTGGATCTTGTTACTAGGTTACTGGACCAACCCCATGCTACTATTTTCAACATTCATTTTCTGTTCTGTTTTTTAGGTTGAACAGTGTATTCAGTATTGCCATAAAAACATGAATGCCATAGTAGCTACCCCATGCAACATGAACTGTATTAATGCAAATCTTCTTACACGTATAGCTGATCTATTCACACATAATGAAGTTGATGATTTAAAAGATAAGAAAGATAAATTTAGAAGGTAATTTTTAAAATTTAACTTTAAACCTAATGTTGTTATTAAAAAAAATGTTATTTCATTTTTGTGAACTATTATATTTTTAGAATAGATCTAGAAATATATTTTTATTTTCTTTTAAGTGAAGTAAAATTTATACAGCATCAGTCAAGATAAAAATTATTAGTTATTTTTATAATGAATATATGAGCATATGTTAGTAGTGAATTATGTTAAAAATTATTAAGACAGGGGCCAGGGGACCAGCAGTTGGCATAATGACTATGTTGCTGGACTCCCATGTAGTCGATTGTGGTTCGAGTCCTGGACCCAGTGGCTTAAACTGAAACTGACGCTGGACACGTGTGCGTGCGTGCCCAAGATCCCAAGAGAAGAATGGAGAAGGGATTGCGATGTGGCCATCCTCCTTGGGGGATGATTTCTCGTTTTCTGTCTCTCTGTCTCTGTCTTTCTGGTGAGCGCACACACCGTATAGCAAAAACTTCTCCAAAAAAAAAAATAAAAAAAGACAGGGACTGGCAAGTGGCATGGTGGTTGAGGTGCTGGACTCCCATGTGGTCAACCGTGGTTTGAGTCCCAGACCTGGTAACTTGCTTTCTCATTCTCCGTTTCTCTCTCTCTCTGGTCAAATTGAAGAATAACAGTAAGTTATTTAAATAATTTTTTTTAATTATTAAAATGGGATGGCAGGTGGCCTGATTGTTAAGGTGCTGGGCTGCCACGTGGCTGACCATGGTTTAAGTCCCAGACTTGGTGGCTTGTTTTCTCACTTGCCCTGTCTCTCTCTTTTTGAGTTAAAAATAATAATTATAAGTAAAAATTGACAATTCTTAAAAAGTTATTAAGAGTTATTTAAATAATTTTTTTTAATTATTAAAATGGGATGGCAGGTGGCCTGATTGTTAAGGTGCTGGGCTGCCACGTGGCTGACCATGGTTTAAGTCCCAGACTTGGTGGCTTGTTTTCTCACTTGCCCTGTCTCTCTCTTTTTGAGTTAAAAATAATAATTATAAGTAAAAATTGACAATTCTTAAAAAGTTATTAAGACAGGTCTTCATATACAGGGAAA